TCGTACGACGCTCTGTAACCAATCAGAAAACAGGATTCCGATGGATTTTGCTTCGCATCATCGGAATTCTGTTTTCTGATTGGTTGAAGAGCATCGTACAACGCAAATCGGATGCAGTGTGAATCCAGCATAATTTTCCTCCTATTCGCTCTGAGTAAACAAGGTGCTGTATTGGCTGCATTCAGCAGAGAAAGCAGCTTTGCAACTGTTGTAAAATTCTTGAATATAATTAGTTTATATATTTAGATCCAATGTGAGGAACTAAGGGCAAGATCAATCATATTGAAGAATGGCTGCGTTCAGCAGACTCAACAGTTTGCAACCGTTTTGTGATTCTTCGCTGAGATAGGACTATTCCTTTAAATTTAAAAGTATAATCCAATCAGCGCGACAAATCATAAAACGGTTGCAAAGCTGCTGAGTCTGCTGAACGCAGCCATTGTTTCAACAGTTGCAAAGCTGATTTTTCTGCTGAACGCAGCCATTGGTTGCTTTCAGTACCGCCCAATGAGCGCTCAGTGAGTTTTGTATTTATTTGGTCTATATTTTTAGTTCTAACGGAATATGCCAATCAGATGCAAGAGCTCACAAGAGCGTTCAGTAAGCGGTTGTAGTATTGAATGCACCCATTGTGAGAACACAAGTCACGTGCACCAATCACGCGGATTCCCGTATGTCCAGGATCGATTCTGTATCTTGAAACGAGGTGAAAATTACAAAAGTGAGTGAATTTACTAGAATACTGATAATTTCATTGGTCAACACCTAGTAAATTTGCTCACTTTTGTAATTTTTACCTTGATTGAAGATACAAGAATCGACCCCCAGATTCTTTACTCAAGGGACTCTATACTGTGCTATCGACGTATATATAGATACGCAATGGATGGTATTTCTAGGTATCTTATATGCCCGGCTCATATTCATTGAACGACGTAGTGGAGCGGCATCGTTTTCCAAGGCGCCGTGAATAGTTTTTCTCACGACGAGTTTTGCTCGACGGCTTTTCTGACGAGTCGACCCTGATAAACCTCAACGGTCTTTGCGCACCTCGCCATTTTGAGAGAAGATTCTCTTGTTGCAATACAAAGAGAAAAGATACATAGCCATGGGCGTGGATGTCGAAGTCTTGAGTCCTGGAGACGGTAATTATGCAGTTTTTTATTTTTCTAGGGACTCGCCGAATTTGCCGTTCTCGCTTTTCCTCGGAAGAATCTCTATCCTATTCCGCAGCTCGTTCCATCTCTCTCATGCTCGCGCGCGCACTACACTATTTGATGCTTCGAAAATTGTGCTCCACAACGTGCCTTATCTCGTGGCCTAAAATACCGCGAACTAGTGTGGCCGATGCCACGGTGTTCTTTATTTGAAATAAAATGGACCCTGAGCGACGTCGCGTTTTTGCCTTATTTATGCTGTTACTAATTTTAAACAGCAATGTCTTTTCGCCTAGGTTTTGTTATCTAATCTAATATCGTTTCATGAATATTTTCGTATGTGCAGGTCAAACCTATCCAAAGACCGGTCAAACAGTGGTCGTGCATTATACAGGTGAATATTTTATTGCGGAGAGTTGATACTCTGATTTATATTTATATATCACGCTTGAAGAAACAGAAGAATAGTTAACAAAATTTTTTTAAAGCTGCTGCCATGTGGTAGCATTACACAAATATGATCAGAGTTGAAAAGTAACACATTACTTCTCATTTCTGATTATATTATTTAATATTATATTAGGTACTTTCCCCAGTTTCAATCTCTGAAAATATCGTGTATTTATCTCTCTAAACAATTTATACATAAAAATCTTAAGATTACATAAATATAGAATAATTTTATTAACATATTTATAGGTACTCTCAACAATGGGAAGAAATTTGATTCCAGCAGGGACCGCGGTATACCGTTTAAATTTAAAATTGGAAAGGGCGAAGTAATTAAAGGCTGGGACCAAGGAGTCGCACAAATGTGCGTCGGGCAGCGGGCCAAGCTGACCTGTTCTCCAGACTTTGCTTATGGTAGCCGAGGCCACCCTGGAATATATCCTTTAATGCAAGATGATATAATATAAAATACAGATTGAACATACAAAATAGAATACACTGGAACTTTTGTAATGGCGCATGGTTGGGATACTGAATAACGAGATTCATTCTTACTTCATTCTCAAATCATGAAATTTAGGATTTTATTAAGTGCCAAGGTTTTACCTCTTCTCACACTACTCGCATGAGTCTAGCGTGACTGGAAGAGATTTTGTGCTCTATTTTGAATTCGCTATCACGAGGTTCTAGTGTAATTATTTAGTATAATTCTATTTATAATCTAATATATATATAAAAAAAAGCAAACAGTAAACTATATTAGCCTTGACAGAGACACACTATCCCACCGAATGCCGTTCTTATCTTCGATGTGGAGCTGCTGAAGGTAGAACCTTGAAATACCTCTTAGAGCGTACCAAATTTGACCAAACGCATTTCAATACAAGAAAAAAAAAGAAACGCATCAAATTATGTTAAGTAGTCGTCGCACGAATGGCACATCCTACTCTAATGCCTTAATTCAATCGCTCGTACATTACAATATATTTACGATTTTTATGAAGTTACATATGAAATATTGAAAACGTTTCTCCAATTTCGGAAAAGACGTACAATTTATACAATGTATAAATTGCAGATCAATAATATTCAAACATTGTCTCATGGACTGTAGGGTCATATGTTAATATGTAGTTTGATTACTTGCTCTCCAAGAGATGCTACTTAACTTGTGTACTTGATTTAAAATCGACTAACCGTGTTCCTATGATGAGCGGTTGAATAAAGGGACCCTTCAGATATTTGCAAAATAAAACCTGTGTTCATTCCATTTACTATGTATTTGGTGATCCTTCGAGTATTTTGTACAAAGATTCAATAAAGGAAAGAACAATTGGTAATGTAACGCTACAGGTTTTCATAAGATAAAGTACAACAGAAAATTACTCTCCGTTTTCTCAAGCGTATACATCTAAACATCTTTTTCTTCATAATTATATAAATAAGTAACTGGAGAAAAATGTAAGAGGGAAGCATTGCACTATAATAAATCTTTTTCCAGGTTAACATGTGTTTTAATATACGTATATTTACAAAATATTTCGAACTATTTTCTATATTTATAAATATACATTGTGCAACGTTTTTCAATCACTGATTCTGCCGTGAGAGAAAATTGTGTTTTTCGATCTAGAATATACATAAAGAGATATACATAGATATACAATTTTTAACTTTACATAAACATGATTAAGTAACAGTGCATGCATATTTACGTAATTGATCTACTGCCGGAATATAGTATATATCCAGATTATTTGTCTTAATTTTTGCTGAAAACTGATTTATGTATATAGGATGATTCATTATGTCGATGCTTATGTGAATTTTTTTTTGTTTTGTGCTCCAAGTTTCTCCATTGAAGTATCGACATTAGTCAGAGCGTGTGGTCACTACAAATCACTACAAATACTTTGAAGCATTTGATTAATTAGAAAAAACAAATTTACTAATTAACCAATCAAAGAATGTTTCAAAGCATTTGTAGCATCACACGACTATGATTTTGAGTCAACCTACATTAATGGAAACAGTTGATTCAGTTTACGAAATCTGTGACAAGTTTATAGAATCATTACATGTGTATAAGAAATTCCCGTCTCTTTACTTCCATAAAACCATTCCATAACCATTGATAATATTTTATAAAAACACTAATTAACCATTTTCATTGCAACTTATATGGTGTATTTGAGACCTACTCATTAAAAATAAATAAAATTAGTACGAGCAACTCAATAAAATATATATATCTAACAATATAAAACATAAAAATATTTTCTCTGTTATGTACATAAGTCAACTTTTAAAGTATAGGAGCTATTGTTCATGCTCAGTAACATGTAGATGATTTAATATAATGCAACACTATGTTAATAGCTACAGTCCATTTGATGCTTTATAGAAATGTTTTGAAGCATTCATTGATTGGTCAATTAATAAAATTTTTTCTTTCAATTGGTCAATAAAATGTTTTGAAGCATTTGTAACACCAAGTGGCACTTAATGTTGATGCAACAGGAACATTAGCAGTTTAATATACAAATAACTCTGGGAAATGAATTTCGTAAGCTGGAGTTTGACTTGGTTTAGTATCCGTCTGCGGTCCGGTCGTAGGAATCGTGTTGCGCGGATCAACGGACAGCGTATTAAATATCTCTGACAACTTACTCTGTAAAACATCGTGCTGTGAACAGAAAAGGAAATATTAGAAAGCTGTATAAATTGATAATAAGTTTGTAATATACGTTAATTAATGAAACCTTTGGTTGTGTTTTTGATACTAAATCTTGGAATGGTGCATTTCTAAAAAACTGAGAAAGTTGCATTCGCTTCTCTTCTTCTATTACTTCATTATTGTTGCTCTCTGTCAAAATTCTTTTCATGCTTTCGAACGTTAATTCTTCTCCAGGTAATTTCTGTAAAAAATTAATTATAGAAGGTAATAGTTAAAATTGTGCAATAATAATATACTAAAAACATGCTTTTTAATAATAACGATTAATTAATTTATTAAATTAAATATGATCATTGATATCTTCTAATTTAATACAAATTAAAATAAATGTAAATTATACCTTTTGCACACCCGGTGATGAACCTCCACTATCCAATTCTGGACCTCCAGAATTAATGTCAGCTAGTGAATTCCGTCCAGCATCAACCCATGAATGCCTAGAAAAATTTAATTTTACGTTATAAAGCTTATATATAAAACAAAGCAGCATTTTCTAAATGTTTACAGCCAATTACTGGATCATTATACGTAGTAGGTAATTACCTGTGTTGTAAAGAATTGCCGCTGTAGCCTGAACCTTGTTGTAATTTTCCACTATCAAGACCAGCTCCTTTTAGACATTCACTGACAACAGTTTGATCGACTAAAAGAGCTGGCGCTAATCTGGATGTTAGACCAGTATCATATTGAGATTGTAAATCTGGTAGTAAATGAGGGCTATCGTTTCGACGTGCATCTACCACCTTCAAACGAATTTATTCAATCAATTGCGCATTTTGATTTTAATAATATATTGTAACTTTACTATAAAATAAATTAATGCGGTTGTGTGTGTGTATATGTGTGTGTGCGCGCGCGTGTGTGTGACAATTTGAAATTACCTACCTTTTTCGCATAATCCATGAGAGCGGTAATATTACAGACATATGATATTAAAATTAGTAAGCTGATAACTATTGCGTGCAAGTTGAATTTAAGTGGAAGACTAATTTGACCACTTGTCAGTGCCAAGTCTTGCAGGCTCAACACCAATCTCAGTAACTCTAATACTGTTTCCTCGGAAGCTAATTCAATGGCAAGTAACGCCAGTGTGGTATAAATAGATTCCACATTTTCTACTGTATTACTAGACAGCTCTAATGATTCATACAGTGCCAAGTAGATTTCAGGGCCGTGCTTCCGAATAAAGATTACATCAGGTCTAGAGGCTTTTTCAATAGCAAGATCGAGCTCTGCTACGTTCACACTAAAGCAAAAAAGTTATCTTCAAAAATTCAAAAAAGAACGAACAATATATATTAATAGATATTTGATTAAGAGATAAATTTACGTTGGTTTAGCGAGTTTTGTAATATTCCGTCGTCTGTCGATTAAGGTATGGAATATTTTCTGTACAAGAAGTCTCATTTCAGCATCTGCTGCCAATGACATTCTTAGTAATGGATCCAAGAAACTGGGTGGGAACGTTGTGTTCAAGTGAATAGTTTGGTACTTGGTGCCAACCTGTATACAAAAAAAAATTTGTAATTAAAAAATCTATATCTCTTACATATATTTATATTTTTATATAATAATAAAAACGATTTACCTTTAATAGCGACTTTAAAAGTATGCTTTGAAGTAATACATCCCCTTTGCCGACCGATACGATACGATCAGGTTGACTGTATGGAACTTTACTCATAATGAACATCATAATCTCAATTTTCTGGTAATCTGGAAGATGATTTGCGAACTCTCCAAGAGCGTTAATAAGAGCTTCTTGATACAATTGCTCATCACTACTTGACGATTGGTTCCTCGTTACACTAACTCGTAGGTGAGATAATAAGGAATTTATAATTTCTAACACAGATGGTCCTAAAAAAAGAACATATCGTTAAGAGTTTAATGATTTAATCTCTGTTATACGTTCAATAAATATCGTTTATATATATATTAACCAGAGAACTAGATAACAGAATTTATATATACTGGATCCATTCAATTTTTTATGTGTACCTACCAACACTTTCACCTGCAGCAATTGATATAATTTTAGACAAAGTATCCGCAATGCTGGTGCGAATCTTAGGGGACGATTTTGAGTGATCATCAAGATGCGTCATTAAAGCTTCCACTACAGTGTAGGAATATTGTGACTAAAATATACATTAAAGTAATATTATTAATTATTTAATGTATAAAATATTATTACTTGATTTACATCGTTACATACTTGAATAGAAAACATAATTATTCTGAAAGTATGAATTGCGAAGTAGTTAGGGACCCATAACTGATGATTGTCCAGATGCCTTTAATATAGATAATTATTAAAATATCTCATATATGAATATATTTATATATACGTTAATTCATAACGAAATTTATTTTATACCTCAACACAGGTCTTATAACACATCTAATATGACCAAATGATGCGCGTCCAATCAGTTCTCGCATGCAAGTTTCCGCAAACTGCGGCGGATCCGATCGTTCTTCAGTTGGGCTGTCCGGTGTTGTGTCTTCCTTATCAGCATATCTAAAAATACAAGCTTGTCAACATGCATGTTTCATAATATTCGTTTCTTTTAAATTACCTTGAATTTTGCATATTGTACAGTAATGATGGTACAATCTTGTCCATATGTACAGGTTCCCAGATATTCTCAACCAAATCATCAGAAAGAGTTTTTCTCACAACGCCCTACAAAGGTATATTTAAATACGTAGATGTAAGTTTTAATACAATCAATAATCTGATATATATTTCAGTCGTACCTGCAACCCTTGAATTCCAGCAAGCCTAATTTGTTTGCGTGTAGTGGGATCATCATTATTAGAATGGCACATTGCCGAATATTTCGACACAAAGAAATCGTAACGAGTATGATACGAGGGTGTGTCTTCCTCAATATTGGCAAATCTGACAAACTGAGAATCAATATATTAATCGAACAGAAATAAGTAAAATTAATGTTAATTCGTTAAGATTATCACTTACAGACTGCGTTGCAAGAATTTGTAATTGAGGATCCATAGATTCCAGCAGTTTTTGTACCATTTTCAAGAAGCTCTCAACAAATAGATTCAGAGTTTGTGCATGACAAGCTACCAAGAGTTGGTCCATTGCCTCCATGGCGATCACAACAAAGCCATTTCGTCTCCTATCAGAGCATGGTGTCTTATTAAGTAGAATTGTTTCATGTAGTGCATCGAAAGATGTATTAGCATGCTATGTATAGAAATTATTGCCAGTCATGTTTACAGCAGTAATTAGGATTAATTTCTATAATTCTTATGTAATTATTTATATAACCGGTGTTATAAGGTAATTATTTATGTATAATATACTATTAAAGACGTAATTATATCATAATTTTATATTACCTGTAAATATCCCTGGAAGCTCGTTGAAACAGGTATTCTCCAATCCTATCTAATTTCTCAGGACTGCTCAATGAATAAAATGTTAGTTTCTCCATATTGTTCTTAATCAAGCCATCCTGAGGAATAGAGAAGCCCATTATTACAAATTGTCGCGTACGAGACACATGTCAATCGCATTTCTCATTCGGTGCAAATATCACAGGTTCAACCATAAATAGAATAATCATTTTGGTCTCTCCCGCCTATCAAGGACAGCGTTTATTGATTTACCCGCGAACAAAACTATAAAACGCAGTAGACAGAAATGAAATGTATGAGACGAGAGAAAAAAAAAGATTCAAAGATCTCACCTGAGGATTAACCGGAAAAATATTATCAACGAGCCTCTTGTA